AGTTACGCTAAAAGCAGTTTCTTGAGAAGTAATTAATGAGTAATAAAAAATAATGAGAAGTTTGTTTTAAGACTAATTTCGAGTATTAACAATGAAAACGTGGTATTTTTATTGTTAATTTATTGCAGAATCGTAAGCATGGGTTCTCAGTAAGAGAAATCGAAGAAATTGAATTTCATCGATTACAGCGCCATCTATCATGAATCGAGAAAAATGTTTCAGACAAATTGTATGTGTTTTTAGCCAAAGATTCCGAATATGCAATAAAAAATAGGGGTTCCCATTTAAGATTTCAAACTTGCCCCCCCTCACCACCCAGGGGGAGGGGTGGGGGGGCTGATTTTAACGTCATTGTACGTCCCCCTCGAAGTGACGAAATTTTCATTCTAAACATTTTTTCGTAGTGTGCTTATTTTTCGAGTTATTTGGCTGCCTAAGTTAAAATGGGTCACCCTGTATACAAATATATCATATTAGGCTGTTTTCTCAAATGTATTCTCAGTACTGAAAATGTATAGTGTACGTAAATTAGAGATTTTCAGCAGTGATATCTGAATATTTCATATAACTTATTAGAAATAGTAAAAACCCCTCGTAAAAAAGTACTACTAGTGTCACTGTTGGTACGAGTAGTAATCAGTAGTAACACTGCTCGTGACTAGTAGTGTAGAAGTGCAGTATTAAATTTACTACTAGTGGCACTAATAGTATCACTACTGGGAGTAGTGCAATCTACAGTAATCGCATTCCCGCACTTGCGGAAATTATTTTAATACAAAGGGCATAGCAGGATAAGCATGCATGAACTGCCGCTTGCCGGATCCGGTCGTTCTTTTTACCGTAGATTGGTATTAACCTAAGATTAGCTTTCCCAAAAGATTGTTTTCTAAAATTAATTTTTATGGGAGTTATGGGGGTTTTAAGAAAAATCAAAAAATCCATTTTTCTCAAAAACGGCTTAACCGATTTTAACCCATTAAGGCCCAGAAACCTGAAATTCTTAGCTCACATTCGAGCCCGAGTACCAAATCGAAAATTGGTAAAGATCATAACGAAACCAACTGATCTTACTATTTTCGGGTGTGCTCTTTCGATTCCCGTGGTCAAAATTTCGTTTCCATGCCTTAGGAAAGCAATATGGCGGATTTAATTTGAAAAAGTACTGAAAAATTGGAAACATTTTATTTTCATCAATTTTTTCCAAGCCCATAACGGATGTCGATCCTTTCCAAACTATGAACAAAGGTGAATAAAATAGTTGTAGTTTATGGGAAAAATTGTTGTTTTTAGCTCCGTTTCGTTTACTCTCTTAAAAATGGCGGAAACCAGTGAAAATCTCGAAAAATATTATTTTTCTGAATAATTCTAATACAAATCGACGTTGAATGAGTTTGTTTCCTCCAATGTATAAAACTTTGACGGATTAAACATCCCCGGTCATTTTTTAGTATATTTCACGGTCTCAATAATGGCGAATTCAATATGGCGGTCGGGGAACAGTGAAAATGACGAGTTTTCTAATAATTATCATCAATAAAAGTTTCAAAATACTTATTTTATCCCGTTT